TTAGCCAGGATGGTCTCGATCTCCTGACCTCGTGATCTGCCCGCCTCGGCCTCCCAAAGTGCTGGGATTACAGGCGTGAGCCACCACGCCCAGCCGTTTATTTTTAATAGACAGGATTTTGCTCTGTCACCCAGGCTGGAGTATAGTGGCAAATGTAGCTCCCTGTAGCCTCAAACTGCTGAACTCAAGTGATCCTTCCACCTTAGCCTCCTGAGTAGCCGGCTAATGCCTGGCTATGCCTAGCTAATTAAAAAAATTTTTTTTGGTAGAAATGGGGGTCTCATCATGTTGCCCAGGTTGGTCTTGACCTCCTGGCCTCAAGCAATCCTCCACACCTTGGCCTCCCAAAGTACTGGGATTATAGGTGTGAGCCAGCAGGCCCGGCCAAACTTACTAATTTTAATCTGTGTCTTTTTGCTTTACTAAATAGTAACCATGAGTGTAACAGCTTTTCTGAGTTCTGTGAGTCCTGGCAAGTCATCGAATCTGAGAGTGATCTTAAGCACCCCTGAACACACTTACCATGGCCCACTTGCACTCATCTGGTATTGGAAGGAAACAAATTTCTTGAGTTTCAGCTGCTACTTTTCAATTGTTCCATGGTGCTTTCCAGGAGTTCCAGGTTGATGATATGGGGTTTCCCCTGTTCTCACATCTGTCAGGCTTTGCGCCTTCTTCGTCCTGCACAGACACTGAGATCATGCAAGTCTTGCATCTATTTGTAGTTCGTCTTCACTAGCTTGTATTTTAGAATTTGAGGGGGTAAGTGGTCACCTAGTCTTATTGTAGATATTATCCAGGGGATTTTGCTTTTGTTACCTATCTATTTGTTCTATTTCTTTGTGTTTATTTATTAAGAGATGGGGTCTACCAATGTTGCGTAGGCTCACTGCAACCTCAAATTCCCAGGCTCAAGTGATTCTCCCACCTCAGTCTCCTGAGTAGCTTTGGAACTACAGGTGGGCACCACCACACCTGGCTAAATTTTTATTTTATTTTTTGAGACATTGTCTCGCTGTTGTCCTGGCTGGAGTGCAGTGGCAAGATCTTGGCTGACTGCAGCCTCCACCTCCTGAGTTCAAGCAATTTTCCCACCTCAGCCTCCCATGTAGCTGGGACTACAAGTGTGCACCACCACATCCAGCTAATTTTTGTAATTTTAGTAGAGACGGGGTTTCACCATGTTGGTCAGGCTGATCTCAAACTCCTGACTTCAGGTGATCTGCCAGTCTAGGCCTCCCAAAGTGCTGGGATTACAGGTGTAAGCCACCACACCCAATTTTTTTTTTTTAAGTGGATAAAAAATGGCTAGGCATAAGCCATCATGCCCAGCCAAAAAATCAATTCTTTTTTTTTTTTAGACGGAGTCTCGCTCTGTCCCCCAGGCTGGAGTGCAGTGGCGCAATCTCGGCTCACTGCAAGCTCTGCTTCCCAGGTTCATGCCATTCGCCTGCCTCAGCCTCCCGAGTAGCTGGGACTACAGGCACCCGCCACCGCGCCCGGCTAATTTTTTGTATTTTTTTTTTTAGTAGAGATGGGGTTTCACCGTGTTAGCCAGGATGGTGTCGATCTCCTGACCTCGTGATCCGCCCGCCTCAGCCTCCCAAAGTGCTGGGATTACAGGCGTGAGCCACCACGCCCGGCCAAATCAATTCTTATGATCCTATCATCACACAAACTCTTCTCCCCAAGCACACAATTTTGGAATACTAGGTTCCCTTACTTATTTGAACAGAATGAGTTCTTTTTTTTTTTTTTTTTGAGACAAAGTTTCATCTTGTTGCCCAGGCTGAGCTGCAATGGCATGATCTCAGCTCACCGTAACCCCCACCTCCTGGGTTCAAGTTATTCTCCGCCTCAGCCTCCCCAGTAGCTGGGATTACAGGCATCCACCACCATGCCCAGCTAATTTTTGTATTTTTAGTAGAGACGGGGTTTCACCAGGTTGGCTAGGCTGGTCTCAAACTCCTGACCTCAGGTGATCCACCCACCTCGGCCTCCCAAAGTGCTGGGATTACAGGCGTGAGCCAACACACCCAGCCAATGAGTTCACTCAAAAAAAAAAAAATCTTCACAGTTCAAGAAAATCATTTAAATTAGTTTCAAGGCCGGACACAGTGGCTCACGGCTGTAATCCCAGCACTTTGGGAGGGCAAGGCAGTAGGATCACTTGAGGCCAGGTGTTCAAGATCAGCCTGGCCAACATGGCAAAACCCCATCTCCACTAAAAGTATAAAAATTAGCCAGGTGTGGTGGTGCACACATGTAATGCCAGCTACTTGGGAGGCTGAGGCAGGGAAATCTATTGAACCCAGGAGGTGGAGGTTGCAGTGAGCCAAGATTGCACCACTGTACCCCAGCCTGGGCAACAAAGTGAGATTCTGTCTCAAAAAAGAAAAATTAGTTTCAGAGTTCCAAATATTACCACTCCTGTCTCAAATTAGGTTTAAGGCACTCCTGTGAACAGGCAGATTGTATAGGCATAAATTAAGATGTCACTTCCCTAGAGAGACTAAGAAACAAATACATTCAAGAAATATTTGATGAATTAAATGAGATGAAGATATCTGGAGAAAACGACTCATCTATCCTCATTCGATCCAACATTCTTTCTGCACACATCGTGTCAGGCAAGATGCTCAGTATCAGACACAGAATATAGGAAAGTACAAGTAACCAGCTGGGTGTGGCCACTCATGCCTATAATCGCAGCACTTTGGGAGGCCAAGGCTGGGGAGGACTGCTTGAGGCCAAGAGTTTGAAACCAACCTGGACTAAGCAAGACCCTCATTCTCTACAAAAAATAATTTTAAAAAGTTTTTTAAAAGAAAGTACAAGAAGAAAGTACATGTAACCTTTCACAAGTTACAATGTTTTATTAAAATGACTGTAGTCACAAGAAGCCTGTTTTCCCTTATAATGAAAAGTAGGTTAAAACTGGATTCACCAAATCTCACAGAAGAAAAAAGTACACACACTGAACTTTTTTAGTTTTTTATTTTGATTCTGATGGCTGGACAAGGTATGTACATTCTAGAACATCTTCTTAATCCCTAAACAAGTGAAATTCTACTTACTTATACATAAAAAGACAAGGAGAAAAGGTCATGATTGTCTAACAGGGAACATGAATCCCCAAATAAATTATCTTACAAAAATATCATACTTGCTTTTCTACTTTTTCACTACTGGTAAAAATGAAAAAAATAATTCACATTAAAATAAAATCCATAGCGGCTGGCATAGCAAGACAATTATTTTTACATATTAAAGTCCTTCAAATAAATATTTTACACATAAATTTAAGTTTTCAAAAAAAAAAGGTTAAGTATTTATCCTGTATTTTTTTGGTCTGCTAAGAGACCACTTATCAAACTGACATTAAACTGGACTGTAGCTCATACTCTGCAAAGAGTAAAATGCACGTCACAGGCAGGTTGGATACACACATGTGCATATTACATACATATGAAATGGCTAACACTGCTGTGCATACTACTTCCATAAGTAGTTTTACCCTGTAAAAATACTGTAGCCTATACTGAATCAAATTGCAATGAAAGAACCAAAGGTACTACTTGCCTATTACAGACACTTGGTCAAGCATTTAAAAAAATACAAAAATTGGCCTGGTGCAGTGGCTCACACATATAATCCTAGCACTTTGGGAGGCTGAGGCGAGTGGATCACCTGAGGTCAAGAGTTTGAAACCAACCTGGCCAACATGGTGAAACCCCGTTTCTACTAAAAATACAAAAATTAGCCGGGCGTGGTGGCAGACGCTTGTAATTCCAGCTGCTCAGGAGGCTGAGGCAGGAGGATCACTTGACCCCGGGAGACAGAGGTTGCAGTGAGCTGAGATCACACTACTGCACTCCAGACTGGGCGACAAGAGCGAGACTCCATCTCAAAAAAAAAGAAAACATTATAATGTTTTGGGGACTTAAAGATTATTGAAGATGAGATAAAAGTCCACACTGCTTACAAATACCCGAACATGGAAAGCACAGTCAACACATTCATGTGGACAGCACATGAGTGGATGTATTAATACATTACACAGCTTCTTCTATCTGATCTATTCCTCTTGTTTTATTCTAAAGAGTTACACGGACTTGGATCCTTTATGATGATTTAAAAAATAATATTACATTAAGTTTTCCTGGTCTAATAACCACTTTAAGAAGTAGAGTGGAAGGGTATAGAACTTTCTATATTTTCTCATACTTGTAAAACCAATTTGATTTTTACTGTGATGTGATATTTAACAGTATGGTAAAAATAAAAATGACTGAATTATATGATTTTGTCCACAACATTCAAGTCTCTTTTTGCTAAAATATTACAAAATGAATGCAGTAAACACTTTCCATTTTCAACGGCCTAAGTTAGAGATGAATTCAACTTTTTTTTTTTTTTTTTTAAAGGAATTACAACTATGCTGGGCTGAGGACAGCTATGTTAAACCCTGAAAACAACAGCCAAGCACCCAAACATCTAAAACACTAACACTTTCCATCCAGGATAGAAAAATGAGCATCCAAAGTAAAGAGAACCACATGACTGATCAAGTAACCAATCAAAAACCACTTCTCTGTTATTTGAACTTATAGTTACTCGAAGCTTGAAGTGTCCACCTTCATTATTATTGCAGGTTCCTAGAGTCACGGCTTCAATGTCAAATGTGACAGTGGACCCAGAGGTAACTGCGGGTAACTGATTCGTCATTTCTTTTCCATTGACAAAAACTGCACCTAAAATGTTAAGGTAAAGAGTCATTTACATGTAAGCAATAACTAAGAGATCTGAAATAGTTTCTGGATTACTGGTAACATAGCTCATTTCCTAATTCAGACTAAAAAAATCTGGAATGCCAACTAGACACAGATTTTAGAGTTCTGTCCAGGGCTCTACTCTTCCAGCAGACTATGAGCTGCCCATATCAATGTCATGAAAAGAAACTTGACAGTGTTACAAAATTACCTGCTGTGAAATAGCAAGACTGTTTCTTATGGAATACACACGAAAGAATCTTGTTCTACCAAATTCTTGACTCACCAACACTGTTTTTTTTTTTTTTTTGGGAGGTAGAGTTTCACTCTTGTTGCCCAGGCTGGAGTGCAGTGGCATGATCTGGACTCACTGCAACCTCCAACTCCTGGGTTTAAGCAATTCTCCTGCCTGAGCCTCTGGGATTACAGGTGTTGGCCACCAGGCCCAGCTAATTTTTGTATTTTTAGTAGAGATGGGGTTTCACCATGTTGGCCAGAATGGTCTCGATCTCTTCACCTCGTGATCCACCCACCTCGGCCTCCCAAAGTGCTAGGATTACAGACGTGAGCCACCGTGCCCAGCCAACAACACAAAATATTAACATGTCTTGCCAGTGAATTTCTTTTTTTCTTTTTTTGAGACGGAGTCTCACACTGTCGCCTAGCTTGGTGTGCAGTAGCACAATGTCGGCTCGCTGAAATCTCTGCCTCCTGGGTTCAAGCGATTCTCCTGCCTCAGCCTCCCAAGTACCTAAGATTACAGGCTCACACCACCACACCCAGCTAATTTTTTGTATTTTTAGTAGAGACAGGGTTTCACTATGTTGGTCGGGCTGGTCTCGAACTCCTGACCTCGTGATTCGTCAGCCTCAGCCTCCCAAAGTGCTGGGATTAGAGGCGTGAGCCACCACGTCCGGCCTCTGGCTGGTGATTTTTAAAGAGCACTAGGGATGTAGACTGAATGATTTATTGTTTGTAAAGAGTTTAGAACAATGCCTGGTACATAGCAGTCACATAAATTATGTCATTAAGACCAAAACTTTCAGCCAGCCACGGTGGCTCACACCTGTAATCCCAACACTTTGGGAGGCCAAGGTGGGAGGATTATTGGAAATCAGGAGTCAAGACCCACCTGGGCAACAACTTATCTTTACAAAAGTAAAAATAAAAAAAAATTAGCCAGGCATGGTGGCATGCACCTGGAGTCCCGGCTACTCAGGAGGCTGAGGAGGGAGGATGGCTTGGGCCCAAGAATTTGAGGCTGCAGCAAGCTATGATCATGCCACTGTACTCCAGCCTCGGTGATGGAGTGAGACTTCAAAATAAAAAAAAATAAAAATAAATAAAAAAAAGAAAAATACCTAAATTTTCTCATCTCCTACTATAAATGTATGAAACTGGAACAGATTCATATATTACTATAATAATTCATATATTTCCAAGAGAATGACAGTTATTTATCTCTTACCATTTGTACTAATGCACACAGCTTGATCCCGCTGCAGAGAGTCATATCCATCCTGTTTTTCTGCACACACTCCTATGCTGTCTCTTCTGTCTGGTTGTCCCACAGTTTCAACTCTGTAAATGAAGTAGAAAGGTCATTTCATACTTTTAAAATATAACATGAATGATACCTAACAGCCACTAGCTTAAAAAGAGCAATCTCACTACAATTGTTTTTTTCTAAATAGTAACAGCAACCATGATTGAGTTCTTGCTGTACTCTAGACACTGTTTTAATTATTTTATATCTATCTATCATTCTCACAGCAACCTATGAGGTAGACGCTATTATTATTATTATTATTTTTTTTTGAGATGGAGTCTTGCTCTGTCACCCAGCCTGAAGTGCAGTGGCACGATCTTGGCTCACTGCTACCTCCGTCTCCAGGGTTCAACCAATTCTCTGCCTCAGCCTCCCAAGTAGCTAGGATTACAGGCACCCACCACCACACCCAGTTAAGTTTAGTATTTTTAATAGAGATGGGATTTCACCATCTTGGCCAAGCTGGTCTTGAACTCCTGACCTCGTGATCCCCCACCTCGGCCTCCCAAAGTGCTGGGATTACAGGTGTGAGCCACTGCGCCCAGCTGGTAGGTGCTATTTTTAACATACCCATTTTATAGGTGAGGAAAATGAGGCACAAAAAGAAAAAAAGATTAAAAATGGCTAAATAACTTGACCCTAATTACCTGGATGATGGCTGGTGGAACTAGGACTCAAACCCAGGCATTCTGACTCTAGAATCAATCAATCAATCTATCTATCTACCTACCTACCTATCTATATCTTCGAAACGGAGTTTTATTCTTGTTACCCAGGCTGGAGTGCAATGGCACGATCTTAGCTCACTGCAACCTCTGCCTCCCTGGGTTCAACCAATTCTCCTGCGTCAGCCTCCTGAGTAGCTGGGATTACACGGATGCACCACCAAGCCCGGCTAATTTTGTATTTTTAGTAGAGACGGGGTTTCACCATGTTGGTCAGACTGGTCTCAAACTCCTGACCTCAGGTGATCCGCCTGCCTCAGCCTCCCAAAGTGCTGGGATTAGAGCCACCGCGTCTGGCCTAATTTTGTATTTTTAGTACAGACGGGGTTTTACCATGTTGCTCAGGCTGGTCTTGGAACTCCTGACCTCAGGTGATTCACTCTCCTTGGCCTCCCAAAGTGCGGGGATTACAGGAGTGAGCCACCTTGCCCGGCCTAGAATCTATATTCTTAACCATTTGTAGCCATGATGGCACATTTCTATTTTATATTCTAGCTCCAGACACATAATTTGTCATAGTTGACATTATAATTTATGTAACTATTGCTGCCAGCGCCTAAATCTTCCATATGAGAATCTGCAATGATTTGATTAGTTTGTTAAGTATATAAAGCATTTAAAAAGAACTATTATAATCCTAAAAAAACCCATTATGGTTATGAAGACACTATTCAAGCTTGAAGAACTTTCTATGTGGCAAGTTTAAGCTTTTCCTTTTGTGTTTTCATTTCAGATGTTGATAATTCGTGTGCTCTTGAAATAGGAAATGTACAGATCCCTATTGCCGACATACCATTCTCTCCATCCAGAAAGTCAACTTTGCGAGAAAAAAAAAAAAAAAATAGTGTGAAACAGAATGTGGCTTTTCCAAAGACAGATGTGATTGTTTATAGTCAATGTGGTCTCAAAATGTCATTGATTGTGAAATGGCAAACATGCAGGATCATAATAAATATTTGGGTAGGTTTCTGAAGTTATTTCACATCTGAGCAGTCTAAAGAAGTATGGGAGGAGGGGCCAGGCGCGGTGGCTCACGCCTGTAATCCCAGCACTTTGGGAGGCTGAGGCAGGCAGATCACAAGGTCAGGAGATTGAGACCACCCTGGCCAACATGGTGAAACCCCGTCTCAACTAAAAATACAAAAAATTAGCCGGGTGTGGTGGCGGGCACCTGTAGTCCCAGCTACTCGGGAGGCTGAGGCAGGAGAATGGCATGAATCCGAGAGGCGGAGGTTGCAGTGAGCTGAGATCGCACCACTGCACTCCAACCTGGGTGACAGAGTGAGACTCCGTCTCAAAAAAAAAAAAAAAAGTTTTATGGGGAGGAGGAAGACGTCAAGAGGAAGTCTCAGCCCTTGTTCTCCCACAGAAACACCGATTTAACATATACAAATCCAAATACTTTCATGAGAATTCCAAAATCTAGTTAAAAAGTTGCAGTACCCGGCTGGGCATGGTGGCTCATGCCTGTAATCCCAGCACTTTGGGAGGCTGAGGTGGGCGGATCATTTGAAGTCAGGAGTTCAAAATCAGCCTGGCCAATATGGTGAAACCCCGTCTCTACTGAAAATACAAAAACTGAGTGTGGTGGTGGGCGCCTGTATTCCTAGCTACTCAGGAGGCTGAGGCAGGAGATTCGCTTGAACCCAGGAGGCGGAGGTTGCAGTGAGCCAGGATCACGCCACTGTACTCCAGCCTGGGCAACAGAGCGAGACTCTGTCTCAAGAAAAAAAAGAAAAAAAAAAAAAAAAAATTGCTGTACACCAGACGAGCACAAAGCCAAACAGAACAAACTGACACAGGTAAGAATAATTTTCATTTTCCCCATTAACCCCTCCCCCAAGCCAGCACAACTCAGGGCCGGGCCAGAACACCTGAGCTTATGACTTCTCCCTCAGGAGGGAGGGAGACTAGCAGAGCATGGCCACTGGTGTTCCAGCTCTCCAGAGGGCTGGCTGAGACTCGTTTCTGTCTTGCCTCTCTTGGAGAACTGATGGAGCTGGCAAATTTTGGATCCCTGAAGGTTGCTGAGAACAAGGAAAAGAGGTGGGCTACAGCTTGCTGCAGCCAGCATGACTCGATGAGGTCAACAAGATCTGGAGAAGGGGCACAACTTGAAGTTTCAGTATCAGGAGAGCAAGATACCGGAATGTGCATCAGGCTCTCTAGCTTTTCAGAAGACTGCCTGAGGGACTGGTAGCTTTCTCACAAGACTTGAACTGAGAGGGAGCCAGCTACTTTGGATACCTGGTGGCCACTGAAGATGAGAGTGGGGTAGCTTGCTGCTATAGAACCAAAGAACTTGTAGTGCTACAGACAGACACCAGAAGGAGCAAGAAATTACAAACTTCCGAAAAAGAAACCACCTAGCCTCTTGAATATAGAAAATGCAGGCAGAGGCCCAGAGAAATCATACCTGCCAAAAAAGTTTCAGAGGCCCCCAGAACATCCAGTTGGGCTGACTGGTGAAGGTGACTGATCATACAGAGACTTTCCCAGCACAATGCTAGTCCATAAACACTGGGAGAGATAGCTATTCTTTTTAAATTTTTTGAATTTTTATAGAGATGGGGTCTCACTATGCTGCCCAGGTTGGTTTCAAACTCCTGGGCTCAAGCAATCCACCCACCTCAGGCTCCTGAAGTGCTGAGATTGTGGCTCCCGAAGTGCTAGGATTACAGGTGTGAATCACCGTGCCCAACCTGATAGCTATTCTTTCAAATGTGCAGGCCAGGTGGGGCGGCTCATGCCTGTAATCTCAGCCTGTTTTATGAAAATTATTAATAAAGAAGTATAGAAGGGTCTATATTTTTAATATTCTGGACAATTATTTTGAGAAGAAATCTGGACAAAAATGACCTCAAAGAAGTCTAGAATTTTGCTAGGCACAGTGGTGCATGCCTGTAGTTCCAGCTACTCAGAAGGCTGAAGTGGATCACTCGAGGCTAAGGGTTTAAAGTCAGCCTGGACAACACAGCGAGACCCTGTCTCTTTAAAAAAAAAAAAGGATTTGATGCGATGTTGCAGAATATAGCTATTATCAGTAAGTGGAGAATTTTATAAACCTCTTACAAGCACCATTCAATTTCCTCTTTCTATGAGTTTGACTACTTTAGATACTTCACGTAAGTGGAATCATGCCGTATTTGTCCTGTGACTGGCTTATTTCACTTAGCATTATGTCCTCAAAGTTTATCCATGTTGTAACATATGGCAATCAATAAATGAATGGGAAACAATCCAAAAGAAAAACAGGCCAAGTATATAGTCAGGCAATTCATAGACATGCAAACCAGTATGGCCAAGAAATTCATGAAAAGTTTTATGACCTCACTGAAAACTGGGGAAAATACGAAAATACAATGAGATACTATTTCCCACCTACCCAGACAAAATTTCAAGAAGGACCACCCTTATATACTTCAGTAAATGGCAATTCTATCCATCCAGTTACTTAGTCCAAAAACTCTGAGGTCATACTTGACTCTTTTCTTTCTCACAACCTACAAACAATCTGTCAGTAAATCCTGTCAGCTCTTCCTTCCAAACATATCCAGATTCTGATCGGAAGCAGTGGCTCATACCTGTAATTCCAGCACTCTGGAAGGCTGAGTTGGGCAGCTCAGGAGTTCAAGATCAGCCTGAGCAACATGGTGAAACCCTATCTCTACTAAAAATACAAAACTTAGCCAAGCATGGTGGCATATCCCTGTAATCCCAGTTTCTAGGGAGGGTGAGGCAGGAGAATCACTTGAACCCAGGACCCAGAGGTTGCAGTGAGCTGAGATCGTGCCACTGCACTCCAGCCTGGGTGACAGAGTGAGACTCTCTCAAACAAAAAACATACCCAAATTCCGACCACTTACCATTACTTCCACTGCTCCATTCTGGTCCGAGCCACCATTGGGTCTCACCAAGATTATTACATAGCTTCCTAACTAGTCTCCCCACCTGTATCTGTACCTCTTTACAGGCTATTTTTCACACAGCAACTAAAATGACTTGCATAATGTCAGATCATGTCATTCATTTGCTCAGTATCCTCCAATGGCCTCTCATCTCACTCAGAGTCAAAACAGAGTCCAAACAGTCCAGATGGTTAAGATTTGAATCTCAGCATCACTATTCATGATCTGTGCAACCTCAGACAAGTTGTTTATTTTTATTTATTTATGTTTTATTTGAGACAGAGTCTCACTCTGTCACTCAGGCTGGAGTGCAGTGGCGCGATCTCAGCTAACTGCGACCTCTGCCTCCTGGGTTCAAGCGATTCTCTTGCCTCAGTCTCCCAAGTAGCTGGGATTACA